CTTTGTATCTTTTTTTTTTTCCTTCTTCTTCCTTTTCAAATTAAAAATAAATTGTTTCGATCGATATATACTAGATATATGTAAATTTTAAAGCAAAATTTATTATCAGGAATAATTCGATAATAGTTTATTCAAAATAAATTTTCCACGAAAAATCATTTTTAACGATGGATCTGATCCATTTTTATTCTTCTGATTTGATTTGGTAAGTAAAAAAGAACGCAAGCAAGTACTTATATAAATTTTAACTCAATGTATTCCAAAATTGCATTAAGAAAATAAATTATTCGAATATTTTTCTCGATATATTTTTATTATAAAGGCATATATAAAGTTTCTTTGATCGTAGAGAAAAAAATAAAAGATTTCATTCGTTTTCTCAATGTTTTCTAGACTTGAAACGATCAGAGGAAAATACAGAGGAATTGTTATTAAATAATACGCAATAATAACAAAGTATTGCATTTTTCTCTTAATGAAATTCTTAAGAATTTCTTTTTCGCGATCAACGAAACGAATAAATCACGATCGTTTCGTTTAAACTTTTCGCACAAATATTCTCTCTATATAACAGTCGTAACGTGATTATTTAATTCATCGAAGTGAGCACACTATTTTGTATAATTAATATTCCTGCAATTTATTAATTTATTTTAATTAACTTTTTTATATAAATTACCACTGTACCTGTTACTGTTAATATTAAATAACACAACTAATTTATAATAATAAAATATAAAATAATAAAAATCACAAAATAAAGTATTGATCGTTCGTTCCTTCAGTTTCAAAAAACTGTATCGTTTATTATTCACACGCGTATCCAGTACTTGTTAGATCTCCTTACGAGATTTCCAAGAATAATTGCAACTCTGTTCTTTACGTAATTCGATATTATTATTATTATCTTGTAATGTTCAATCCGATTTCAACATAATATCAATTTATGAGGAGTGAAAAAATGGCTTAAAATTCACCGATCGAAAAGATTAGCAATCGTTTATTCGATTATATAAAAAAATACTTGTGAATAAAATCGAATAAATACTTCGAATAAAATCGTAGAAATATTCAATTTGTTCGAGATATCTTAAATAATTTGTTTACAGAGAGAGAAAGTGAGAAGTTATGATACGTGTGTATTTATCTATTTATTTATTTTTTTCGTCGGATATCGATCGAGTCATAATAATCTGTCCGAAAAAAATGGAGGCGAAAATAATTAAGTCGGCACTTTACGTAATTGCACGCTTATGTAAATTGACGGGTAAAATTTAATTTCTTCGTGATGGAAAAGAAAGAACCGAGGGAATTCTTTTCAACGTGACGAAATCTCTCGATGAAAAACACGCGCGATTCAAAAGTGTTCGATGGGATGAGTTATGAGCAGTATGTGTATGTATGGCGATGAAAAGAAGGTGGGAAGAAGAGGGAAAAGTGACTGACTGGCTGCTCTTCGTGTTTGAAGATGGGGCTGATGTTTAATCGGTTGGAAAATTCTTTGCAAGAGTTTTGAAGATTCTGCGAGGCTATTATATCAAATGTTAACCTGCAATGTTGCATCTAAATATTTCTCTAAGAAATTATTTATAATCATATTTTTTTAGGGGAAAATTTCTGTCAAATTTTTCGTTTTATCAATTCTCTTATAAATCAATTTATATATACAGCGATTTCACAAAACCATGTTATTTTATCACCGACATGCTGCTGATTATCACCGACTATCCCTGAATATTTCACATTTCCGAGCTTAAGCGTTCTAAGTATAATAAATATTTATCTCTATATGAAAAATTAAAATTGGTTCGATTGATTACGCGTTTCTTTCTTTCAAATCTTTTATTCACCGTCTTTTATTAAAAAAAAAAAGAAAAAAAAAATGAATCGATTTTGATCGATAATCCGTTTATTTTCTCGAAAAGTATGCAAGGAATTTAACGTTTGTTGGTCGAATCGCGAAAAAAATAATGTACCGGAAGTGAAAAAACTTGGAAATAAAGGTGAGCGGAGATAACACGATATAGCTATAGAAAGGGGACGAAGAGAGATATGAACGGCAAATTAAAATCGATGATAATCACGGATGATATCACGATGATATCAAAGTGAAAATATAGGAGAAAGAAAGGGAGAAAGTTCGATGCGTTATTAATAAAGTCGTCACATTTCTCCTTTGCATACGTTGCATACGTTGTTTAATCTTTCTCATAATTCATTTCATTTATTTCATCTTTCGCGATTATGGTAATACGTTCGAATATTATTTATTTCGAATATTTCGATCAAATATATCCACACATATATAATCGACGACTTGTCGATTTAAAATCGCGTTATTTAGCTCGAATGTTCGAGATGTTAACTTTTGAGATTCTGAATTTTTTTTTTTTTTTTCTTTCTTTTCTTAAATTGCTCGATTTATCGGTAGTTTTAATCGAAAATCTTGATAAAAAACAATAGAAATGACGATAAATTTGAGAGACAGAGTTTTTTTTCACTGTTTCGACGACTAACCGTAATCTTAAATGTCATCCGATGAGAAGTTGCGAACTCTGAAATACGAAGCAGACAAACGATTCTACCACATCTCTCGAAAGTGTTTCGGTAGAACTTATGGTTGTCGCGTCTCGCCTACGGCATTCTTCTCTGTCTTTTACGCACTTGCGATTCAGCACCATTCGCTCCATTCGTGTAATAAGACCTTGTTAAAGCAACGAGTTTCGCGAATGAACGGTTTAATCTACGATATTCTTGTACGATGATCAAAAGTTTTTCTTATTTTTAAAAAATCGATCAATTTATCGCAAACGAATCGAAATTCGAGGATAGAATCGATATCATTTCGATCGAAAGGTAATTCTAGTTTTAGTTTCATTTGATAAATTAAAAATAGATTGCCACGCATACGAGATATAATTTATAAAGTAGTTTATATCGAATTTTATTGTATTTTTATTGTATTTTTTTCTATTTGTTAAGCTAACCGTGAAATATTTCCATTTTAAATCGCATTACATTCATTCTTTGGAATGCTTTAAATCGAACTCACGAACAGTCATTATTCTTGGGAATTTTATCGTTTGGAAATATAGTCATTGGATAAAAGGAAAAGCTCTGCACGCCCATCTATCTCATTATCTCACATAATTAAATCAAAATTGTGAAATATCTCTTCTCGAATATTTGAAAGCAAATTAAGAATTCTTTGTAAAAATATACATATGTTTTAATAAAACATATTATTTGTATATATTTAGATCGAATGAAATGCAAAAATATAACAGATGATATACAGAAAGATATGTAATATTTTTTCGTACTTGAATTTTTTATCATTTTCGTGTTATACCGGTTCAGTAAAATGGAAAATAATTATAGTGTGAATTAAAATTATTATTTTATTATTATTTTATTATAAAAATTTTATTATAAAAATTATAAATAAACAAGATTATATTGTATAATTTAATAATAAGAAAAATATCATTTAGCAATTTTTAAACAAAATATTAATAAAAATGTAAAATAAATTATTATATGTATATATATATATATATATCGCTTGAAATTTTATTTATAATTTATTGTTAGTTTAGAATTTTATTTCAAAATTAATATCAAATTGATCTGATAAATCTTTCTCTACTAATTTGTTTTATAATTTTGATGGAATGAATTTTAGAATTAATTAAATTAATATATATTATATGTATGTTTATGCATATTCTTTATTTTTTGAATATATTGCAGATAAGATTCAATTTCAATTTTAAATGTTTTAATTTGGACAATTTTTTTTTTAAATTATATTATAATCTAATTTAAATAATATTATAATCTATTTTTAGTATATTTTTAATCGTGGTATTTTTATAAGACTTCGATATATAAAAATTTATAAATAATGTATAATATATTATATTTCAATTTTCGCGCGGCTGAAACATATAGAGAACAGCAGTGCTTCAACCAATCAGAAAACCATTGAACTTTAATGGCGGGATAAATCAGTCCGCGTCATTGTGCGCATCATTGTGCGCATTTCGTTAGTCTACAGTTGAAAAGTGTAGTGATGGGATTCGTTTCATGGGTAAAAGTGCGTGATTATGTAAAATTTATATTAATACAGTGTTCGAATATAGTTAATTAAGCCTTGTTTAAGTAATATCTGTTTATTTATTCATTATTATGTCAAAATTAAATATCTTTGTGATCATAGTTTGATTGAAACATCAAAAAAAGGATGGCCTTGAAAGTGTTGAACAGTTTTGTTTGTACACACTACGACAATTAAGAGATAATTCGACGATTTTTGTGCAAACGTAGTAAGATTTTGTTTATTTTAACACATATGTAGTATTATAAAGTTCTTTTGTCTTTTTATTCATGTAGAAGTAAAAATAACTAAATAATTCACATCGATTTACACATACATATTTCTCATGTTTCTCTTCTTACAGTATTTGTTTTGATTTTACGCTCAAATTCCCGAAATTCTAAATATTTCTATAATTAAAATCTTCCAAAACATTGACGGTCGGTGTCATGTCACGCTCGATACGTTTCGATTTGTCGAATTGTTGATATGATTGTCGAATATACTTTCACCTCAATTTGTAATTCGATACATAGAAATCACTACGTGTCATTTTGTCGTCGAAATTCGTGACGATTAGACGCTTTGCTTCAAGCGTGAGACTAGTTTATTTCTCAATATTTATTTGATATTTTTTTTTATTTTTTATGTTATTATTTCATTCATTGAATGTAATTATAGTTGATTATTACACTTGATTTTTTGAAGAATATTATGATTTTTTGAAGAAGAATTCGTTTAATTTTATTTATTTATTTATTTAATGTTTGAATTAATATTGATTCGTATTATTATTTTTTAAAATAGATTACGAGTTAAATTATTGTTTTATTTTAATATAATCAATTTAATCTTGTGTATTTTATATATTTATTTTATAGATTTATTCTTTTTCCCGCAGATATGTAACTGATTGCTAAATTACTTTAAGTGGGAAAAGAATTTTCAATATGGACGCCATGATGATAATTCACGTTTTACGGAGGAAAAGTAAAATTTAAATTCTTGTATCGAAAAAAAAGATGTATGTAAGTAAGTTTTTATATTTTCTATTTATATTTTATTTTGAATTACTATTTGTATAATATAATTTTTATGTAATAATTCATATTATTACATTAATTATTGAAAATATCAAGATGAGAGTGAAAAATATTTTGAAATAATCCATGATTTATTATGTAAAACTTGTATTATGTACAAATTTTCGAATCGAATAATTTTTTAATATGTGCTATATAATATGTACAAGATGTTATTAGTAACAATATCTTTTTTAACAAATTCTCGATAGAAAAAATATTTTTTTCTCTATTCTTCTTTCTCGATTTATGCAATTTTATTTTCAAATCATATTGTGATCGCATGCAATGCGTTTGCTTTACAATATTGGAAAATATAACAATAAATAAATATTATGATATTCTTACAAAAAAGTAGCAAAACACTTTCATCTTTCCTACTTTGATACATAGTTTCCGTAACAATGTTTCAATTTTTCATAATGCAATCATGAATCGCTTGCCTTCCTTAAACTTTCTCCCTCGAAAAAACTAAATCCTTAATATTTAATAGCTATTTGGTTCAGTAACTATCGTTGTATCATTATTACTTGCATTTTCTCTGGCTATGTGTAATTCATGTCGTACCATAAATTCTTAAAAATTATATCGTTGATATGAATGTAAATTGGAAAAAAAATTTTTTAGATTTTTAATATGTAGGATTTATAAGTAAAATATTTAATTTTTATATAGCTGAAAAAAATTTTAGAATAAATAGAATATTTAAAATATTTTAATGTTGCATTTAAGTTTTTTACAAGAACGAAAGATTGCATCATAGAAAAACATTGAATAAAATGTATTTAGAATAAATATGCATGCATAAACAGTATAAACAATATTAATTAAGTAGATAAAATATAATGTAATATAAGTAAATGGATAATTAATGAGCAAAATAGTATTTCGTGGAAAGCTTCTCTATTATTGTTTATTTTCTTTTACGCTTTTAATTATTTTTCATTTTCATAATGATAAAAATATAGTAAAATATTGCTAAAAATTTTCTAATTTAAACTTTATTTTCAGGTTTTATTCTTCGATTTTTTGCAATTTCTTTTGATGTTTGTGCTGTACAACGATCACGAATATGAATGTTTTCCAAACAGGCAACAAAAAAAGAATTTATTTGAAAATAAGTAAATTTTTTCGCAAAAAAAAAGATGAATGGAACATGTCATGATCAGGGTGGGTATCCAATTCTCAATAAAATCCAAAAAGTGAAGCTTGGAAAATCATTATTATTTGACATACGATATATAATCGTATCACTAATATTAATGGTACGATTATATATTTTATAAGAATTAATATAAGAATTGGTGGTGAATTTTTTGTAGATTGAAATTTTATTAAAGCAATGTTTTTTTAAGATTTCAATATATATAACACAAAGTTACATAATATATCACTTTTTTGTTTCTCGACTGTGATTCATTTATGGAATCTTTAAGAGAAGTAACTTAAAATTTTAAATAATTTAAATTTAAGAATTCCAATTTTTGTATCACGAGAGATCAAGTTTGAGAGAAGATAAGAGAAACAATTCATTTTCTTTACTTTTTTTTTTATTTCATTCTTGAATTTTTGTTTATTTAAATCTTTATCTTTTTTTCGAAACAAAAATAATTCTCGGTAATCGTTCCATTATGTAACAGATCAAAGTTCCTTCCAACGAAATTAGCGCGATATCGGGAAAAATGGTTCAATGATTGATTCATCCTTATGTCTTCTCTCTCTCTCTCCTCCTCCTCCCCCTCTCTCTCAGAAACAGAGACCAATGTCCTCCTTCCTGGACGATTTTTCTCGACTTCGCTTGTAATTTCCACCTCAAGTTCCCAACTCAACCCCCGGTTTTTTCATACTTTCGTGCTTTGCATAATTCACTACTTTGTTCATATATAAAACTGGCAGGCATTGACAAGCGCGGAACGTAGAGGATGAAATATCGTTTCGGTTTCTCTCCCCGTGTTCTGGGAGAGATTCGTTTCTTCCGGGGTCTGGAAGACAATGCGATTCAACGCGATTTCATTCTCGAGCTGCTCGTCACGTTGTTGCTCGTTCCTTGTGCAAACGATGCTTGCCAGAACCTGGATTCACGTTCTTCTCACTGACACGCTTTTACGTTTTCCTTTCTCATTTTCCGAGTTAGTTGGCGGTAGTGTTCGAGTATTCGTTATATTATGAATAGATTTCGATGAAATGATATTTATTTGTCAACGTATCATATTCATTGTCATATTTGCGTTTCATTAATTATTTCAGTGATGCGAGTCGATATAATAATCGTGAAAATATTAAACGATGAAAAAATGAAAAAAATGAAAAGCACGATTTCCTTCTGTAAATAAATTATTCCATATTTATCGCGTTTACTCGATTTAATATCGACCCAATATTTTTACCAACCAAAGAAATATATAAAAAAATAATTTTTTCGTATTATTTTTTTAAATTTTAGCGAATTTCGCGACATTATGAGTTTGACCATATAATTCGAAAAATTTATTTGATATCTCGAGAAGAAAGAATTTTTTAAAAAAATAGAGAGAGAGATAGAGGCATGCCATATTCCCATTTTGTCGATCATTTCTCGAGATACGATCGTTCAAATGCACGTAGCGTTGGAAACGCGAGGGTTGATGAGTGGCGGCCGAAATTCTGGAAACCATGGTGACCCACATTTTTTCCTAGAAATGCGTAGGACGCGTGACGAGTGACGATAATAAAAAAAAAAAAAAACGATGATTCAGCGTGGATGAATGAGAATCGCTATTTGAGATAGATCGACGAACAAGATCGTATACGAAAATGATTCTATCGTATCCGATTATCTTGTAGGAAAATATTTTATTTTAAATGATTGGTTATATTTTAAATTGGAAATTACTTAAAATTTTCGAAATCCTTTCGATCGATTAATATTATTGATCGCGAAATAGATCAGTGTAATTAGATTATTCAATTCAATTTAATCGAAAACGTTATTAATTATAAAATCAAATTATACGAATTGATGTTTGAACAAAGTAACGAATCACACGGTTACTCGTAACGTTTCATTCGTCTTATCAAATTAAGTTTTCTTTTCTCCGACGAAAGATCGATCGAAAAATTCGATCGTTTTAGAAATCGTGTCAAAATTAATAAATTACTTTTCCTCCCTAAATAAAATTATATTTACGAGAGAAAAACGAAACTCGATTATTCACTCGATAAAACAAAATTGAAAAATCAAATTGGATTTTTGAATGAATTTCGCCAAATGTTTCAATTTTCGAAAAAAACATGGCAATTGAGATATTAGCAAAAATTATTCGTTCGTTTTCGCGCGTGAATGTTTGTGAAAAGAGTGTTTGAAAAAAAAAAAAAAAAGAAATGCATGGATAGATTGCACGCGACTCCAAATTTGAAAATCAAATCTGCAGATTGCATCGCGTTTCAAAAAGATTTTCTAATTTTTTCTAATCTTTTCGATTAATTTAAGAGGATAACGGTGTATGCAATGGTTATGCAATAATTATATTAAACACGATAGAGAAAATCGTAAATTCACGTTTATCCTCTGTCTCCTCTCTCTTCTTTCTACCGTAAAAACAATTTCAGAGGTGGTACACTTCGAACGTACTCGAACCGAAAACAATGTAACAAATATTTTAATTCGCGTCTCGATTGGAAACGATTTCTCGCGATCGGTAGAAAAATGCTCGTAAATTCGAGTCGGCCTTTTCTCTCGCGAAATTCTCGTTTAATGGAATTAAAAAGCCGCTCGATGTCGCACAATTCCACGAAATCCAACCGATATCGCGTTAAATAACGAGCAATTCTGCCCTTGTCGCATATATTAATGTTTTTACGAATTCGAAATTTCGCTCCCTCCGTCCGGCATATAATATAATAGTACGAAATAGCGTTGAATTTTTCGCGATGCAAGGAAACAAAAACTTAATAACGTCTAATTTTGCATTTTTGATTAGATTATAGACGAGTTGTGGAGGAAAAAATTAGAATTTAAAGTACATATAAAAGCGACATATAAAAATAGAATTTAAACGGCTACGATACACGTTTCATTTGTTCAAATTTTGAAGAATTAAATCCAAATGCAACCTAGTTTTCGTCGTCGTCGTCGTCGTCGTCGTTTGATTCATAGTGTTTCTTCTCGTACAACAACCGTATTCCCTTCCCTCTTTTCGAAAGTTGACCGAAAGGTGAAGCGAGCAACAAAGTCCTCGAACCTTTTTCACGAGGTTAGGACGCGACACGATCGACTCTGACAAAACATCTCCCGCCGAGCGAGCAGCTAGTCCGAACTTTCTTGCGGCGGCGTGCACAGGGCGAGAATGATCGACGACAAAAGTACAAAGGCCATAGGGTGTAATTTATGTGTTTGTCCCGTGTAGTCCACCGTCCCCGCTATTCGTTCTCCTGTATCGCACGCGTCATTGCCGATGATAAAAGCCCCTTTCTCTGTGCCTGCCCGAGGTGCCAGCTTCGAGGACTGGTATACCAACCATTCGATTTTGTTAAACAGCATACGGCTAATATTTTTCGTTTCTTTTCGCGTCTTCTTCTTCTTCTCCCCCTTTTTCCCCAATATTTCTATGGAATTTCTCTCTCTCTCTCTCTCTCCCCTTCTCTCTCACATTTTGTTCCTCTTCTTAATATTTATTTAGACCCCAGCCGAATAAAAAACGATACAAGTAACGGACAATATAGATAAATACGTAGATTGTTTTCCTTCCTCGGACGAATCGAACAGATGCATCCGCGAGAAATTGGAGATTCTCGTAACCTTATCCGCGTATGCAAAGAGGGGATTGTCGATGGAACGTCGGTATGATATTTCATATATGTATTTGTCAATTTATCAAAGTGGTTTTAATGGATTACAAGGAGGGCGCAGTTCGCGTGGTGTGTAATCGCTGTGAATCATCCCGGTAAACTTTAGCTCGAGTGGGTCGGGAACCGGGTCGATCGTTACGAAACTTTTTTTTTTTTTTTTTTTTTCTTTTTTACCAACTCCACGGAGAGGAAATTTTTGTCACTCTGGATCGTTGGACGGATCCACGCACGCACGTATGCACGCACACACGGGCGAAATTATTCGATGAAATCGAAAATTCGGATAGATCGAAAACAAGGGAGAGAATTGGCTGTGAACGTATTCTTGATCACGAAATAGTAGAATTGGCAGTGGAAAACGCACGTGTGCTCGCAGATCGCGCAACCGGGAGAGAAAAAACGGCGTAGGCCGTAGAACGGTGCTTTCTGGTTATTAGCGAGGCTGGTTTGTGTACCTTGGCGATGGGGAGTCGAAATATAATTAAAGTTTTGGCGGTGGCCGGCCTAAGGGATGTTTTGGTTCCATTATAGCGTCGCGGCCCCTCGAAACTCGTGCCCGCTCTACAATTACGCTCTGCCCCTCCGTTGCCCGGTTATAAATTTCGACGCATGCATATTCACGAGAGGGAGAAAGAGCCGCCATCCTCCCGTCTTCCCTTACTCTTCGTCTTTCTTACTTTATTACTATTACATACGTATATACGTGGCTACTCGTCGCTTTGCTTTTACTTTCTTTCCCCCTCTTTATATAGTTTTTTCCCTTTTTTCCCTTTTTTTTTGTTTCCCACTACTCTCGCTCTTTGTATTTTCCGTTCGTGAAATAATCATGGAATTATTACCCCACGGCCACGTCGAAATCCTCCCAGGAGGAGGGTGGCTCGCGATTTATGCTAGCGAGACTCAAAAGCCAGTTTGCCCTCTTTCATCCCCTAAGTCTATTTATACATATACGTATTATATATGCGCGCACACGATCCTTCTTTTGTCGGGATTGCCGCGGGGGTGCCGCAATAACGCGGTGCCGAAAATAATTCGAAAGCCCATCCCCGTCGTAAAGATGCGTGTTAATTACTCGAGATTAATCCCGTTTCAATGTCAATTTATCACGCGTTAGAGAATAAACGACGAGAAAGAGAGGTATTATATACATATATATTTACGAAGAGATTTCTTTCGCGATCGATGGAGAGTTATTCTTTTTCTCTGTATATCTAGCAAACGCAGCAAATTTTAATCAGAATCGCGGCCGCTACCATTACCATTTTTAAATTTTATGCGATGGCCGACGAGGGATCGACGAGAGAGAGGTTGAGAAGGAAAGAAGAGGAAGAGAAGGAGGAATAACCGCGCGCGTTGGATGTTTTTACGTACGTGGCATT